TATATATATATATATATATATATATATATATAATGGAGGTCCCAAATTGATGGATTCATCTGCCATTGCTTGTTTTGATTGGCAATATCACAAGTTCACAAAACAACCCTCTATGCCTATAAATTATTCCACATATTTCAGCGCAGTAAAATACTTGGATGGTATAACATGTAAATACATTGGAATTGGATGTTATGTATGTAAATGCTCTTTATTTATTTTTAAAATGGATTGCTCCTATGAAAAATGGCAAAAAAATGCTCCATTGTAAAAATTAGCCTTATAAATGTCATAAAAATATCTATAATGTAACCTCTTTTTTTTAAAAATACATATTTCAAATATATTTTTAAAATTTCGGGTTGTTATATTATCTTTCCAACACCCAAATTTTGCATTTTACTAAACTACCACTTAAAATCCTATTCTCCCAAATTTTATAGCTCGTTATTCCTGTTCCTCTACATCTCGCGATATGAGTTTTTGCCCCCTTTCATCCTGAGCCCATTAGACTAAAAAATATTACATCTTTGTAAGTATGTACTTACGAAGGTGGATGGAGTGATCACGTCATCATAATTTCACTTATATGTGAGGTGGTCACTCCATCCACCATTGTAAGTACATACTTTATAAGTATACAATATTTTTTTCCACGAGACAAGAAGGAACTCGTTCGTCTTTTTCAACAAGGACGGAACCTGACAGCTTCAACTAATGGCTCCCCATCTGCTAGGGAGATGGTACAGGTAAACTCCCCGAAACTTTTCTTCCCTTTCCGACATTCTTCTCAACTTGCTCTTCTTCTTTGAAGGACAGAACCTCAAACCTTCGATCGTAGTCTAGTGAAGTTTGGGCTCATTACTCGAGAGCCTTAGACTTGGGTAGGTTTGAGGAATCACAAGAAAGGAAATGATAATAAAAATTATTAAAGGGATTGAACATAAACTTCTTTGTCATGGAGCTGTTTAGATGGCAGTTGGGAGCCTCTGGGGACAACTGTTGATGCAGATTTTTTTTACCTCTAAATCTCATTGAATGATTTTTGGAGGGGCTATGTTGAAATGCCTCGACAGATGTGGCGAAGAGATCTTGGATGGTATCCATGTATGCAACCTGTTTCCATGTTGTTATAGTATGACTCATATACCATATAAGAGACAGATGATGGAACGAAGCGGAGCGGAGTAGAAGAATCTGTCAAATAGGGGGAGTTTCTTTACGTGGGTTGGGGGTGCGGGGGAAATGCCCTGCGGTACGGTACAAGGGTAATCTTGTAATTACATATTGTACTCCAGGGCTATATATATAAGCTCTATTGTAACCCTAAGAGGCTTGTACTCTTTTCTGGAATTGAAGGGAAAGCCGCCGCTCTGCTCCCGAGGATGTAGACATTTTTTCCGAACCTCATTAAATTTATGTGTGTTCTTCTGGATTTGTGTCGATTCTTGTTTTTCTTCACCCTAATTTCTCAACCCCGACAAATGTGGCGAAGAGATCTTGGATGATATCCATGCAGGCAACCTGTTTCCATGCATTGTTGATTTTCTATCATGATCAGTTGTAGATTTTAGTGTTTCCAAATGTGACTAATTTACTTTTCATATTTTACTTTTATTTTCTTGTAAATAAAAAACAATTCCGAGCCTCTCGTCTTTTAACATCATCATCAAAATGGTTTGTATTTTTATCTTAATGCAAAATTCTAGTTTATGGATGTTAATGCAGAAAAACAGTTTTCTCATTTCTTATATTTTATTTCACAGCATGCACTGAAAGGGATGTATTTTTTATGAAGCTATTAGAGGTTTCATACTGTTGTAGTACCAAAAGGAAATGTTGCCATGTCCTGTGCTTTTTTCATGAATGTTGTGCAATTGTTTTAAGGCCTTTTGAACTTGGAAGGCTAGAATCTAGTGTTGTTGATTAAAATATGATATAAAAGAAGCCTTCATTGTAAAAATAGGATTTACGGTGGCTCAAGGCTTCTCATTTGCTTCTTTTATTTTAAATTAGCAACATGGCTATTCAGTGGGAGTTGGATATTTCAAAATCCGTCTTTCAACCTGTCAAAGATTGAAGTCAAGAGACGGAAGAAAATTTGTTCATACGTTTCAGTAGGTTTTTTGACATGTTGCTGTTTTTTACTGTTTTGCAGAATCTAGATTAAGTAAGATCATTGTCATCTTAGAAACCATGGATTTTATGAATGACTTCCACTACTGTCATTTTTATTGTTTTGTTTGGATTTTCTTTTATGTCTAGTAAAATGAAATGAAAATTACTTTCGCAGTCATTTCCATCAATTCCTTTCGTATTAAGTTCTTATGTCAATTTCATCCCTTTGTTTAATTTTTTACTTGAATAAATATGTTGATCAACTATTTCTAAATTTGTTCAACTATTTTCTTTCTATCGTGAAATCTTTTTTTGTCATTCGAGATTGCAACAAATAAATTTATTCGATCAACAGGATCAACAAGCAACCAAGAGCATTATATTTTATGTCTTTCTTAATCCACAATATAAATCATACAAGACTCATAAAAGTTAATAGCTGAGGAAGAAAGTTCTATGAATGTCCATGTAATAAAACATAACAGAATTGCAATTAATTTCAGTGGGTTGATGAAGTTGATCAAACACTAAATAATGTTGATGTTGGCCCTGCCAAACTTACAGATCGTGTGGAATACATGCTAAAGAGTAACGAGTATATGACATATGAGCTTTACAAGCTTAGTGGTTTGATGGTGGTTCAAATTTTAGTTATCTCAATGATTGTAATTATTATTCAGAAGTTGTTCTTCTGAAGTGTGAAGACATATGTCAATGGATGCTTCTATAATAAGATTTATTATATTTAGTCGATGTTATTTGTACCAACAACAAACAATTTGGTTTATGAAAAATATAATTTTGTTGAGGCATCAAAATACATTACCTTTTTGGAAGTCAATGATTTTTATATCTGGCAATTTCTTAGCTCTGAATTTTCTTTATTTGGCTAATGACAATGTTTTGAAGCCAATTTTATTCATATATAGATTAAAAGTTTTACATACATATCACACAATTCTTATGTATTTAAATAAGTAACACCCAAACTTATCAAGTACACGATGCGTGCAAGAGAATTCACGGCGATAGAGTGTTAAATTAAAGTTTTAGCATTGCTCGAGAACCCACAAACACTTAGATAATATAAATGATGGGCAAAAACATGAGAGGAATTTTTACGTGGAAAATCTGGAAAGGGAAAAATTCACGCGGCCTGACCCAGATGAAGAAATACCTTATAAATGGGTGATTATAGATATAGCTCGTTGTCTCACAGGCAAGAAAGTGCTACATGGTCTCCCAAGCTACAACGTCGGTGCGTAGATGAACCGGTCGCACCACGGTAGGGAAGATCACTGCGGAAGGAGTGATAGTCAGGCTTCAATGCACCATCTTAAGGGTCGGCGTGACGTACGTGATGATGTTTCATTTCATAGGTTGTTTGGTACAATGCTTCGGCACAACGAGTGGGCGTCAACCGATGGTGATCGGCGGCGGCCAGTGAGTGGTAGTCTACGGTGGTTGGCGGTTCCACAAGCAGAAGACATTCATTGGATCATCAGTGCATAAGTGATGCTAGAGGCCAACTCCTCCAAGCTTTGGTTTTCTTCAGATTTCAAGCTCCAAGTCCGCTCTCGGTAGGACTCTATTTATAGTTTCGATTGCAATTAATGAAAGAATCTGAATCACTTATGGGATGACCAGCGGAGGAAGGTAGCAGAGGAAGAAATTGACGGAATTATATACAAAAAAGGAATTAAGGGCTTTATTTTTTGAAAACAAAAAATAAGAAATAAAGCCGAAAACAAAAAAAATAAGAAATAAAGCCCAGCGGAGGAAGGAGGCAGAGGAAGAAATTGACGACCATGTCTATGGATTTTGGCATGATGAGGTTTAGATGAAGGAGGCAGAGGATGAAACAGTAGGTCAGTGTTTTTGAGTCCGAAGAAGACAGAAAGGGTGGTATATTAGTGAATTAGATGACTTTAGATGTCGGATAGATAAATACTTACAAATTAAGTGTTACTTTTATAAATTTCTCATCTTTATATTTAAAAATTAACTTCAGAAATTGTGGCTCGCAGCCGGACGAAACGCTGTTGCCTCGCTGACATCGAGCCGATAGCTACATCTCGGATTTCTACCTCTCACTTGCGCGAGATGGGAACCCTGCTTTCCGACGGTTTCCTTCTGCGCCAATCCATCTTCTCTCTTTCTTCACGACTGGCATCCACCAAAAACCCTATCTTTGTTCACTTGGCTCGCCGGAGATGTAACTGGAAATTGAAGCCTTTCGCTCTTTCCTGTTCTGTGTACGCATCATCCGATCCAGATTTTTTAATTTACGGCGGCTGGGAGGAACTGGAGCTTACGGACGACGCAGGAAACTCTGGTATGTTGGAGCCATTTCGAAGTTTCGTAATTTCTTTAGGAATTGATGATAAGAAGCACGCCTTGCCCTTTCTTCTGGGTTTTCTCGCGGCTTTGACGGTATCCAGGGTTAGGTTTTTCACCATTGCTTTTCTTCCCGTCTCATTTGTTGTGTTTCTTGTTGGGTTTGCAATTGGAGTGGCACAGGCTGGTTTTTTGGTTAAGAAAATGGGAATAAATGGAGGTGGTTTAGGTGTTTTTATGGAGAGATTAAAGCGTCTGGAAACTTTGTTTAATGATGTGGATGGTAAGATGTCATATTTAAGGAAGGGGCTCGAAGGAGGCATTGATGCGAATGAGCTAGGAATGGGCGGTTCAGAGAATTATCTTCAGATTGTTGAGTATGTTACAACTGTTATTGGGGAAGCGCAAAAATGTTTGACTGATTCTTTCAATAATGACCCTTTTAACGGCCATATTGATTTTGATTTTGGGGCCAAGAAGAAGAATAAGAGGTCAAGCAATAAAACAGTGGAATCGTGGGCTAGTGGTACTGATTTTTTACGGTTTTTGACTGACATGCTCCGTAAATCTCTGGTTGGATCAAATTCAACAAAACCAAAGGATACCATTACAGAGAAGCTTGGCCAGCAGTTGAATCCAGTGGATGCAAAAAGTCCTTTTTTAGTCTCAGAGAGAGAAATGATTGCAGGAACTGAAATAGGGGCGTCAAGTAGAAGTCAACTGCGCAGCTTCAATCAAGTAAGCTCTAATGTTGAAGAATATGGAATGCATTCCAATGGAAAACGGAGGAGAACAGAAAGAAATATACCAGAAAAGGACACTATCCCTAATGATGATTCGTCGCTGAACGGTGCTAATTATAATTTTGAAATTGGTAATTTTGGTAGTAATATGCTTTCATTTGATGAAGAAGATGACAGAAACAGTAGTAGTAGTTTGCACCATACGACTAAGCATAACAGCTTTCAAAAAGTTGTTTTTGAGCAAAATTATGAAAGAAAAACATTGAATAATCACTTACATGATTTAGCAGTTGGTAACATCTTTCAGAAGAGAACAAAGAATGTGAAGCATTTAACAATGAAATCCAAATCTTCTCTGCTTGAAAACACTTTAGAGATTCAAAATAGGATGCATCAGCCTTCTTGTAGAACTGAATCCATTGAACAAAAAGAAAAACAAATCAATGGATTTGATTTTGAAGAAAGCTCCTCAAATATTTCAATGGATGAGAAGTTCGCAGATAACATAAATGAGGCATCTATTCTTTTGAAGCGTGCGAGAGAGTACATGATGACTCAAGCTGGCGAAGAAGAAGCAGATGCTACATTGTATAAAGCTGCAAACTTGCTTTCTGCTGCCATAGTTCTGAGGCCAATGAGCTTAGTTGCTGTGGGACAGTTGGGGAATACTTATCTCCTTCATGGGGAACTGAAATTGAAGGTTACTCGGGAGCTAAGAACTCTTCTATTGAGAAGTGGTTCCTTGGGGCTTAGAAAAAGTGATAGTTTTGCTACAAGTAGAGAGGAAATTGCATCCGTTCTGGTTTCCGTATGTGAAGAATGTGAAGGCCTTCTTGTTAATGCAGGAAGAAAATATAGAAGAGCTTTATCAATAGATGGGAGTGATGTTAGAGCTCTTTATAATTGGGGACTTGCTCTTTGCTCTCGTGCTCAATTAATTGCTGACGTTGGGCCAGTAAGCATCAATTATGCTTATATTTTTAACAAAATTTACATACTTAGCACACATTTCTTATGTATTTACATATCTTACACCTAAACTTCCATATTTACATATATGTAGCACTTTGGCGCTTTACACATGTGCATGAAAAAGTGTATTTGATTTTTTAAAAAGTGGTGGTAGTGTTATTTTTGATGTGATATTAAATAATTGAGTGTTGTGTGTAAATATTAAAGCTTAAGGGTCTGTTTGGGGCAGCTGCAGCTTATCCAACTTCTGCTGATAAGCAGCTTATCCTGATAATCTGCTGATGAGCAGCTGATCCGGATAAGCTGTCTGGCTGTTTGGTTGGCGCTTATGAAAAACAGCTGATTCTGGAAAATTGGTCATTCTGCCCCTATTATGAATAAGCAGTTTAACTGTTTGGTTAGTGCGTTTTGTAAACAGATTATTTGGAAATTTTTTTTTAATTAAATGAATAATCTGTGCAGCAGAATTTGTTATTTTCTCAACAAAAGTAAAGATCACTGTTCAGACAAGAAAATATCTCATTGGCCATCTTTCTCATAGTGCCATAACTCTCCATATAATATAACATTCCAAGAGGTTTTGCAAACGGCTAATGAAATAATAGCAAGGATGATTTATACAACGCAATTCTTATAAAATCACCATTAACTGTAAATGTACAGACAACTTAAGAAGTAAATTAAATTACTTATCAACAAAATTAATAGCAAATGGAATTGGTATTTTTCTGAATATCATTGATTTCCATGCTGTAACTTACATTTCTGAATAGCAAATAGAATATTGATGGAAGGCAAAAAAAAACAAATTTACATAAGATTTAATGCGAAGATATTGCATCAAATACCAAATTGAGAGTTTCACCTCATGACCAAAAACTCATAGAACAAGGAATATCAAATTTGAAGAGGCACTGCATAATACTCTACAAACTTCCATTTAATCATAAATAAATGATTTTTGTGCAGGACCTTATCAAAATAGGGACTACATAGCATGCACTTAGGGGCTGCAATATACATTGCAATGTAATGTGATATCTAAGGTAGATTTATGTACATACCACTTAATTCCTATGTATTTACATATCTAACATCTAAACTTCAATTTTTAAATACATGCTAACTTACCCATGCATTTGAAGTATATTTTACTTTTTAGAGGCTAAAATAGTGATATTTTTTATGTGATAGAAAAGTTGGGGGTACAAATGTAAAAAAATAAAGTTTTGTTAGATATGTAAAGATATAGGAATTGGATGGTATCTAAATCAGTAATAGACATTTTTAAATCTCAACTACATTCTCTAAAGCCTGATAATATAATGTTGAAGATAATGATACCGAACCAAGAAATATATATAATCTAGCAATTAATTTCATTTTAAAATACCAAAATACGCAGGTAAATGCCTTAAAAGTTATTGTAAAAATTTTGAATTTGAGCCTCATTTAAAAATAGGAAGATTTACATGCATAAGGCTTAATTTGCTATGTATTTACATACCTTACGCTACCTTTACATGTATTTCACCTTTTTTTTAAGTTAAAATATTGTATTTTTTCTGTGATATGAAAGATTTGGGTGGTATAAATGTAAAAAGGTCAAGTTTAGTAGTCAGATATATAAATAGATAGGAATTGGGTGGTATGTATGTAAATTCCCCTTAATATTGCATTGAGATCTATTAACACTGGGATGTTAATAAAACATACTGAATCAAACAGCCTATAAACTGAACATGGAGAAAACACTCTACAATTACATGGAAGAAAGTGAAGGAAGAATGCAAAACCTCTATATTCCATAAATCGCTGCCATAAGTAGATAGAATAATGGCTCGGAATAATTCAGATAATAATCTAATAAAATAATCAAATGAAATGCAAGATAAACCACGGATTAGTTCAAAAAACACAGGAACTCACTAATATCCATCTCTAAGACCTCCAAACTTCTCCTGCCCTGCAGTATCCCAGCAGTAGAATCCGATATTCCCGCAGTTGGTGTGGAAATCTAGAGGATGCACCTCAACGCCAATGATAGCTGTAAGATCCCCACAAACACACAACAGAATAAAAACAGATCAGATTGCAGAAGCTTTAAAAATAAATATATATGTAATCCAAGAATTGGATTCCTACGTTCGTATTTCTTCTCAAACTCCCCCGTCAAATGCCTCTTCACAAAGGTAGTCTTCCCTGTAAAAGATCCAACAAAAAGCCGAATAAATCGAGAAAAGCTCGTACATCTGGAAGAAGAAGCATTTCTGCGCTAGATCTTCGACGGAGAGGAGTAGTGCGAGCCGTTTCCTAGCCCTCGTGCGGCATGTAGGTTTCGACTGAGAGCTTGGGGAGGAAGAAGAAGTTACGGGAGAGTGAAGGGATCCACCGAACCCGACTAAGGAAATAGGGCAACGCGAGAGGAGTGCGAGAGGGCAGGTGGGTAAAAGGGGCGTTTGAAACGCTGACCGAGTGTTTTTGGGCAGAGCCGGGAGGAAGGGGAAGACGAACATGGGGCAACAGCGTCAAATGCTGAAGGAAGCGCCAGACCGTGGGGCGCCTCCTACGATCCGCGTGCAATATAAATTAGGAAATGCGGTTTTTATAAACTCGCCATAAACGCGAGAAACAAACAGTGAGACGGCGTTTTCAAAACGCCGCCGCACTTATAAGTTGCCCTAAACGGACCCTAAGTTTGAGATGTAAATAGATAAGAACTGTGTGATATGTATGTAAATGCCCCTATATTTTAAGCTGAAGAATCCCACCCTGCAGGATTTGTTTTGTTTTTTGTACATAATTCTTGTTGTAATTTGCCATTCCATGATTGCTGGGTTTAGACTTGTGTTTAATCTCTTTTTGATTTGTAAATCTTTCAATTTTAGACTTATGTGTAAAATGATTTTTCCGTGTGAACGTTCCACTTGCTCAGTCAGGGCACTGCACCACAAATGTTGGAAGTCTAACTAAAATTCGAATGGTAATTTTTTGGAAGATTTACATACATACCACTCCATTCCTATGTATTTATCTAACACCTAAAAGTCAATTTTTACATAGATGCCACCATACCTATGCATGAAAAGGTGCATTTCACCTTTTTAATATTGTTGATGTAATATAAAAGATTGGGGTGTTATAAATATAAAAAGTAAACTTTAGGTGTTAGCTATGTAAATACATAGGAATTGGGTGGTATGTATGTAAATGCCCCTAAATTAAGCTATGTATACTCTCTGGTGGTCCTGATTTGTATGAACATACAATTAACGTTACTCCTTTGTAATAAATCTCTTATTTTGTTAGTCAAACCATTATGCCAATAATTTACAAAGCTTGATTTAATATAACGTTTGGTAAGGGTTTTGGGTATCATGATGAATTTGAGGTGCATGGTAATAGAGAGGACAATTAAGAGAATTCGTAAAGAAAGAGATCCAAGTTTCTTGTTTATATTTATAATTATGTAATTTCCTTAGGTTATCCATGGTAGTAGGCAATGGCAAAATATCCTAACGTCCTGCATCTATGTTGCAATAAGATTTTCTTATTTGATTAATATTTCTTATTGGAAAGATAGCTGACAATAATAAACATATAATATTGTTAAATGCTATGTAGCTGTTGCATTACTCTTTTTAATTTAGGCGTCAATTAGATTTGATAGACTGATAGTAATGAATACAAAACTACAAATTCATTTTAGTTGGCAGACATATGGAAGGTGAAAGAATCAACTATTGTTTTACATTACGGAAGCTACCTCATGATGTATATAATATTTTATTGCTGGTCGTTTACAAGTTTTAAGTGAGTTTGCTTTTAACATTTTTTTGCAGGAGGCGGCCATGGATGCTGACAAGATATATTTGGCTGCAATTGATAAATTCAATGCTATGATGTCGGGAAGTAATGATTTTGTGCCAGATGGTATAATCTTAGTCCATTTAAAATTTCCTTTTAATGCTTCTGCATAATCTATTTGAGAAATTTAAGCGCGTCCATTGAATTCTTCTCTATTTTATATTACCATTGCCCAAGTAATTAAAGTAAACTACCGAATGTTCATTTGAAATTATACATGATATAAATAATTAATAATTTAACAAACCGATGTTGAAAGTTGTTAGTTTCATCACTTTTAAATTTTGGGATGATATTATTGTATGTTAGCGTTATTTTAGTAAAAATGCAGAATTTTGGTTTTATAGATTGTTCCAATCTGTTTTAGATTTTGCTCCAATAATGTATCATACGCCAGAACCGAGTTAAATAATTTCCTTTCATCATATTTGGGGTCTAGAAGGTAGCACACTCCAACAACATGGGATATGTGAAGGACCTAACTTTAACTTGTGAGATAAATCTCTTAAATTATGGTCATGCATAAGCAAATAGAAACATAAATTTGTAATGATAAGAAATATGAAATGAAACTTTATTAAAGAAATAAAGCATTACTAATAGTTCATCATAAATGAAGCAGAAACATTTAACCAAAGAAATGAACGGTAGCTAGCACAATGAAATTAAAATAACACTAGGATGAGATTCTTTTGGAAGTTGATAGTGGAAATCCCTTCCTATGTAGAGAACCTTGGAGACCTAGTACTTTTGTCATGATCCCCTTCAATAAGCATTCCATAGACATCAAAATGGACATCTCCTCAATAATTTAGTCACGATAAGCTCTTGAACAAATATTAGGAATAACCATCCTAGCATTTTTTACACAGTTTTGGTTGAAGTTGATAAGTAAGCGAATGGCAAAAGAGCTGCTTAAGTACTATTATGCATGGGACATTAGCGTTTTGACGTGTTACTTGATATGATAGAGGGAGAGTTTGTCTTGTTAGGATTGAACGGAAATCTTCTATGCTTATTGATTAGTTTAGATAAATATACATGCATGTTGTATTTTTTATGTGAAAATCTTAAGAATAGGAAAACCCTTTGGCATTTTCTAATTGAAACAGTTCTATTAATTTTAATTGAGAATTACAAAGGTTGGCCTTACCTTTAATTAGAGAGGACGCTAATTGATATTGTTCTAGGGCTTCTAGAAGGTGTGATAAACCACAAAAAGGCATTAGGGAAGTTGTAGGACTGTTTATGTAAGTTGGAGGACAGATGCCGGCTGAATTCTGGCATGAACAGCGGTGAGGCAGCAAGCCGGCGGTGGAAAACAACATGCTATTCTGCTGAACAGCAGATTTCTTCTGTTAAATGATAGTGGACAGCAAGAACAACGCCGAGGATTGTCTCCAAATGTCTGGGAGAGATCAACAAATTAATCCTGTCAGGCTGCAGACACACCACCTAAAAGAAATCTAAGGATATAACGCTCCAATAAATAAATCTAGGGGAAAGCATCTCAAAATAACATAACAAAGGCAAAAGTTAGCTAAACCAACAAAATAACACCACATAAATAGTTCCCTAAAAACAAATAACCTAATTAGAAAATAGAGGATAGGAAAGGAAAAAAATAAAAATAAAAATAGAAGAAAGCTTGTTGCAAATAGGAAATAAATAAAGTAAAGATTTCCTAGGGCTGTTACTCTTGCGATTGAGAGATATGCATGTTGAGGAATTCCGAACCGCAGAAGAATCCGGCATCTCACATCATGGTGCTGCAAAAATTTTGTGATCGGGTCACGATGTGAGAGGCTCTCGCATCATTCTCTCTAGGTAGGAGAGTGATGCGAAGCAAAAATATGATATTTTTCGTTGTTAATTCTAAGTTTTATTGCCTGATTATGATGATTTTATAGTTGTGAAAGATTTTTTTGATGTGTTTTATAGAATACATGTGTTGAGCACGTTTCGAGGAGCTAAAGAAGGCAAAGTGGCTAAAAGACCATCAGCGTGCCCATTGCAAGGAGTAGTGTAACTATGCCATCTTATCTATCATGGAGAATGTTGGAGAGATTAGTCACGGTACCCCCACACTAGGATACTGGCACCCTCGTGCTGCCAACCTGAGAAGGCAGCAAACCCACACCTTACATTGGTGTGGGGGTGCCCTGTCATGCAAGAAACCGATTTTTGAAGAATTGGATGGGAATTTTGGTGCCTAAGCTCTATAAGGAGAGGCCTTCGACGAAAAAAAATTACACTTGAGTCTTGTGCTGTGCCCTAGGATTTATTCCTTTGGTTTTCTTGGGAGAAAGCTTCTAGGGTTTTTCCTTTGAGCATTTTGGAGAGTTGGAGAGGGTGAGTATTTGAGTGCTTGTAAGAGGGAGATCATGTGCAGTGCTCACGTTGTAAGGAGGGAATCGAGAAATCAGTGAGGACAAGGATTATCTGATTTGATGTCTTGTATTTGTTTTGCATGTTGACTTTTTTTATTGCAATGAAGTTTTCAATGTTTCTTCCTTTTTGCATATTAGCTAAATATTTTCATGCTCCTGTGATTAGAATAAGTGATGAATCAATTTTTTTTTTCCATGAGTTTCTCTAGATGTCTTTGCATGCTTTATTTGATTTATGTTAACATTTTATCCTTTTGATGCAATTTTCTTCTAATCTGACTAATTAGAAAGTTAAAACCCCTTGTGATTTAAGACTTCTAACCGTTGACTGGTAGAGTAAGTAGGTTAACATGCAGTCACCTATTGGAATAGACATATTGTTAGCAAGAGATATCAACCTAGATGAGGGATTAGAGAATTCATAGGAAACCTTGTATGGTTAAACCCTCTTAACTGTAATATAAGTTTCCAATGCTTCTTATGACCTAGACATATGCCAAGGAAAACTTGTCTCTGGTTGACAACAACTACATAGGGATCTAATAGGAAAACTTTGAGGATTCACATAATTCTAGTCACAGTATTGTTATTTTCATCACCTCTGAAAAATTCTAAAACCTAATTCAGTTTTCTGCTTTTATAATTTTAAAAACTTTTCACCTGTAAATTTGAAACACGTAGATTTATTGTACGTTTGGGGCGGCAGTGCGGTAACGCATTACAGTTTTTCCTGTTTAGCAAAATTGTGTTATGCATGCATTCTCAAAAAGTTCAGTTGAAAATTGTGTTTTCCACCAGACCTGGCTACCTGCGGTGGCAGCTAGAAAACTGCGGTATGACTTTTTTAAAAAAAAATTGTATTAGCCACCATTATTTTTTGAACAACTTCTTCTTTAGAAGCTTTACGACTGCTTCTTTAAACAATTGCAGCTATCTCAAACAGACCCTTAGATGTTTAATAAACTAGATATGCATTAGTTAGAAAAATTGACTAATTTTCTCGTGGGATACACATACAGACTCTAATTATATATATTACTTGAGTGACATGTATATTTGCGTGAGTGTCAGTTGTTTCACAGCAATTCCCCCAAATTCACATATTACTCGCCTTCAAGTAATCTTATAGCTAACCTTAGAATTATAAAAATAATTTTGTTGCTCTAATTTGTGAAATTCCTTGATCTTTAATACAGTCCTCTAATTTTCAATAAAAGTGCGCAAATATCATCTTAGAATTAGATTTTCATTAATTTCTAAAAACTTATTCTTTTTTGAATCCACTTTGTTATGAGCATAAACAACTCTCAAAAAACTTGATTCAATGCGACTAAAAAATTTTCATTAACTAGAGATGTTCTTAAACCAATTAATTATCAATCAATCAATTCAAAATCCCTTATTTTTTTTCCTTGAATATAATATCCAAGTTCCATCATGAAAATTTTTAAGTCTTATTAATTAGGAAAATGTTTAGACACTAATTTTTGAATTTTATGCTTACCCCAAGCTTTTTCTCTAGTCTCGATAAATTTTTCTTTTAAGATTAGAACCTTCTTGAAATTCTATTTTTTTCTTTTCTCTTTTCTTTATCTTTTCTTTCTCCTTTTCTTTTTTATTTTTCATAGGGAATTATTATATATGGTTAAGAATATGTTTAAATGATTTTGAATGCTTATTTCTCTTAATTAGTAATTCTCAATCATTTCTTAATGAGAATTCAAAGATTATAAGTCATTCAAAAATTATTTTCAGCTGGTTTGTTTGGATTGACAACTTAAATGCTTAAAGGATCTCTGATTAATTACTTATCTTTATATTCATACCTTTTCAAATGTTTTGGGGCATTTATGCTTCAAACAGAAGTAATCAAAGTGAAGTGCTAAATTATCATGAAATTAACTTTAATCCTACCCTTTGATAAACATTCACACCACCTTTAAAGTTATCATATCACAAAATCAAATTACAAGGATTCCAATTCTTAGTTAAAGAATAGATTCTACAACCTAGTTATGTAAATCACCCTAGAGCAATTACACATGCATAGCTCTCCCCCTCTCAAACTTATTTTCTATTCTATTTAGGCCACATAAAGGATTATAAGAATTGAAAAGTGCATTTCAGGTGATAACATGGAATCTAACATCTCAACATTTTATCATGTCACTTCAATAGAAAAGGTAAACCTCCATATCAACTTATACAGTGTTAGGAAAACAACACACAAACTTATAACAATAAAAACACAGACTAATCTCAGACGTGGGCAAATTACATAAAGATAAAAAGAATGCATAACATAGTCTCAAAGCACAAATACCAATCCGTATCAGAGCATAACATGAGACATTAAAAGCTCTACTAATCAAGACATCAAAATCATATCCCAGAGAAAAAAACAGAAGCACACATTAGAAATCATTGTCCAGAAATCAACACAACTCATGCATGATCTCCACTATCGTTCTCCTCCTTGTCTTCCTCCACGAGCTCGACCGCATCGTCGAATAACTCAAATGGTGGCATCTCAGGGAATCTCACAGGGTCTAGGCTAGTATTCCTCTGCTCCCTCTAGTACAACTCTTGTTGTCCAACCGGCTACTGGTGCAGAAATTCAAACTGTTGTTGGCGCTGGACAACATAAAAATGTGATCGCTCATGGAGATCATGTGA